TCGATTCGAATTGCTTACCTTTGATTGATTTGAATTCTTAAAAAAAATAAATTGAAAATGTTAGAAAAAAATATATTAAATAAATATTAAATAAATAAAAACGTACAAAAAATGAAAAATAATAAAATAATAAATCAAAATGAAGAGGAAAAATGCAAAGGACGCAAAACTTTTATCCATTTTCGAAAAGTCTAGAAAATATAAAGACTTTTGTTTTGGTTTACCCTTTTCTTTTTAAAAGACAAAAACCCTTATATCACCTAACAGAATGTTTGGCTTTTTCTTTTCCATTCCACGCAGTGCCATTTTCCTTTTCCCTATTCTCTCATTCTCGTCGCACCATCTTCCGTAGCAAATCGGGGTCGCTGGAGTTAATCACCATCACGTTTAGCGTTATTTAGTTCTCCGCTTGGCCGTGCGGTCTTCGTTAGTCTCCCATCAGTAAGTAAATCGCCGCCGTTCACCATTGTTTTTGGTCGTGTGCGACGGGTTCATGTGTGTGGTGGTCGTAATGACCGGGTTGGCGTTAAATATTGTTGTCGTTGGCCGAAATCTTACGCTCTTTATCGGCGATAGCAACCGACGATAGCATTGAATCAGAAGAGGTAAGCCTTTTTACCTTTGTTTTCTTTTCGGATTCTTAAAAAATGCCTCGGATCCTTGCGTTTTTTGCTCGTATTTCCTCTGTAAATTTTGAGTATGTATTTCGTGTGAAAAAAATCTCCCTTACAAATGTCTTGATTACATGAATTTATAGCCTCAAATTTGGCTATTTTTAGAGTCCGATTTAGACTCTAATGCTCCTATTTTAGTGTTTTATTCACACTAGCTCACTGGTTTGTTAATTGTGGCCGAGAATCCTGGTCGTTGCAGGCGAGACGTGCGGCGATGGGTCTCCGTGGTTGAGGCTTGCGGCGCTAGGGATTCCCAGACAAATCCAAATTTTTAATGGGTTGCGGGGCTTGCTGGTTTGGGCTGCTGGGTGTGAAACATCCTGGGTTGTGATTGGTCTTTAGGCCTGTCAAAAAAAATGTTTATTAATAAAATAATATATATATATATATATATATATATATATAATACATATAGCTTTGGTCGAAAAAGTGTGTCTACAAGTATCTAACGTTATAAAAATTATCATTTTAAGTGCTCCAACTGTAATGATGTTAAAAAATTTCGTTAAACAACACATGTCACGTTATGATAATTTAGATAAAATTATTTAAAATAAAAAAACTAAAAAATAATAATCTCTTTTTGAAAAGGAAAAAAACTCAAAATTTTCAAAAACCTTAAAAAAAATCCTAAAATTTTATTATTTCAATTCTTATACCCAAGTCGGCTAGCATTGTTGCCGTCAATTGAACCTCCACCGATGATACAAACACCCGACTACACAACCACCACTAGCCTTTGAAATTATTCTAGCCACCGTCGTCAAATGGTAAAATTAGATAAAAGGAGACGGTTAAGACAGTGTGTGACAGTGAAAGGCAGAGGGAGGACACAGGGTGGGTTGAGGATTTTTTTAATAAATATTTTTAAATAAAATATATCTTTTTAATTTTAAAAAAAATAAAATCTTTAAAATTATAGAGTACAACATATGTCACTTAACAAGATTTTTTAATAATTATTACGGTCAAAATATTTAAAATGATAACATTTGTAATGTTAAACACCTAGATTGACAAAAAATAGTTGTCACTTAAATAGAAAAATTATATATTTGGACACTTATTTTTATATTAAGCCTTAAAATTACAATTATATGTAAATTTATTATAAAAATACATGTCAACAACCTTAATAGTTTTCAGGGTAAACTACATGATTAATATCTTAATTATCACTTTTGTTCAATTTTAATCATCTAATTATTTTTTTAAATCATATCTAAAGTTATTTTTTTTATTTCATTTTAGTCACCTACTGTTAAACAATTAACGGTGACATTGACGTGTCACCATAAAAAATTTCATGTCATTACTAAAAAAATAAAATGCCACGTCAATAGTTTTGGTAATTTTTTTAACGGTGGGTGATTAATATAAAACCAAAACGTAATATTAAATACAGTTTTGAGAAAAAATTGAGTGCACGTAATAGTTGAAGTACTAAATGTGTTATTTACCCTAATTTATATTACATTAACGGTGAATAGAATAATTATATATTAAATATATATTAAAGTATGGGATTTCAGGGAACATGGACAAAGATATGGACAAAGATGAATCTTAATCAGTAACGTGGCAGAAAATATGTTGGTGACAACAATTTATTAGGCTGATTAATCACCAAAATTGGACCACAAAAATTATGTTTTGGAGATGGCAAATATGGACCTCAAAAAGGCAAATTGTGTAGGCTTTAGTGCATATAGAATAAAGGTTAAATTTTAAATCGTTTAATCAATTATAATCAATATCATATATTTATGATTTTTTATGAAAAAATAGGACTCGAGCATGAATTCTTTTATGTCTAATGTGATTACAAGATAATATATATTCATAATCTTTCTTAATTATTTACAACGTGCACACATCCTATGAAAGCAGTTGCTCAAACACGTAATCACTAGATAAAATAACACTCCATTCTATAACTGAGACTACTCAACAAATATACTTGAACATGAATTGTTAAAAAAATTTAGCGTGGGACTTGTGATAATTAAGTTCCTATGAAGGAAACACGTCTGAGTTGGCTACTAATTAGTTTTAGTTAATTGGATTTGAGTTTTGTGAGAGAGAGAGAGAGAGAGACCCCATTTCTCAAACTCCTTTTCAAAAAAACAATCTTAATTATATGAAACTGAATAAGAAATAGTTCAACATCGCTTTCTCGCCTTATCAAAAATAAATTTGAAGTTAAAAACATTATGTATATATATATATTGGAATAATCATAAAACGAGCTCACATTGAATTATTACTTTTATAATGAATAGGGTCTTAAAATAAATTAAGAGATTAAAAATTTAATTTTACTATAAAAAATGTTTTTTTTTAAAAACAATTAAATTTAGAGTCGATGTTTAATTTCATTAGTTTTAAAACTAACAGTTCATAAAATGTGAGGCGGGGGATAAAGTTGATCAAATATGTTTGTAAGCCCTAAGAATCAAACCCTTTGTTTCTGTGCCTACGAGGGCCCAAAGATCTTACTTTCTCCAGAGTAGTCGGTCCATGTGTTCATAAAACTTGATTACATTGATTTTAGTGATTTTCTACAAATATAAAAGTACTATTGAAATTATTAGATATGTTGGCCATGAATTTATTATTATTTTTAGCTGTGTAGAACATAAGATTATTTTAGATTGGTGTAATTATAAAATAGACATCTTTCTTTAAAATTAATATAATATTTTTACATTCGTACATCTAAAGGAGAAAGATAAAACTCAACCAGTTTATTATTTTTTTTATTAAAAAGTAAAACAAACTTTAAGGTAAATAACATATATTTTAAGTTTTAACTTTAATTAGTCAATAAAAAATTATATTAAACAGTGTAGATTCCTTTGCTTTTGACAACACCGTTTGTCATTTGTTCATAGGGAAACAAAAAGGAGAATAACATTGGAGCTTGGTCGTTGGGCAGGGAAGCAATGTTCACTGCTAGGCTCCATTCCCTAATCCCTACCCTTTGCTTAAAGAACATCTCCTACTCATTTAACAGTACCAATATCACATCTTTCTTTAGCTTTGGAATAAATAAAGTCACACAAAGAGTTCCAACTTAAAATCTACGTTATTATAATCGGAATAGATTAAAGGAGCATGTGATGGTAATCGATCTCTTAAAAATTTAAAATTATTATATAATTTTTTATTGTAAATCTGTTTTCGTTTTTCTAAAATTTTATAAATTTATCATATCTTAAAATTTTAAAAGTTCGTTCCTAACATAAGATAAGATTTTGTGTCCGTATTTGAATCATAGAAAATATTTAAGTTTTGAGATGAATGTTATGTGTTTATTTGTTGAGTTGATACTTCACAAGGGATCAAAGTATGTGGTTTGTGTACCACTAGATACAATCTTTGGAGGTAACTTTCATTCGATATGATGAAATAAATGTAATGTAACATCAAAAATCACATGGATTTGGTATCCACCATACCATTGCAGGCAACTTGTCTATTCAGCCATTGAAATATCTTGTCAAACTGCAATAAAGAAGGCACTGAATGAACCTTGTTAAATGAGGAAAGTTCTCACGAACCAAATTGTATGGTTATAAATTAATCCATATTTGTTGATTTATTTTTAATTGTTTATATTTATTAAAAAATAAAATTTTATATAAACTATAGTTACTTAAAATTACATTTTGATTACGAGAATGATAGAGTATATTAATTTTACATCAAAACATTTGCATCCAGATGAATAAAATATAGTTAAATAATGTAAATTTTTTTAGTTTTATATAGATTTATGATAATTAGATAAGTGAAAATAAACAGTTGAGATTAATAATAGAAAATGAGAAGATATTTACTGAAAAAAATAAAGAATTAATCTCATCATTTTATTATTTTATTAATCCAACGGTCTTAAATCTATATAAAATTAAAAAAAGTTATATGGTGTAAATCGATGCTATCAAATTAGAATGGAAAAATAAAAGACAAAAGCTTAAAATAGGGTAAAAATATAAGCTTTTTGGCACTGTGGCCATTTAGCATTAATGATCAAAAAGTGAAAAGACCCCAATGGAGATGGATTAGTCTGCTTTGTTGGAAAATCTCTTCAATCTGTATCATCTCTTATCTTCCTTTTCTATATGGGTTAATTACATCAAACTTCTTCAAATTACAATATAAATCTTAAGTTAGTCCTCAAACCTAAAAATATTGTAATTGAATCTTTAAAATATTATTATTGTATCAATCATCATTCCTTGGTTTAATAATTTGGGGGATCTCTTGTGAAATTAACCTTTTTTTTATATCTCCCAAAAGTCATTGCTTTCAAACTGTATCAGTCAGTCACTCACGAGATACCTCTGAAATCCTCTGCTTTGAATTCATATTTCTGCTGCTAATCTCAGTTCAATCCTATTACACAAATAACTCCCCCCGTGAAAAATTCACCACTCTCCCTTTCCCCCCGGAAAACTCCCATGAATCTTCTCTTCATTATCCATGAAACCATGACATGATGAATGATGAAACCCCGCAATAACTTCCTCTACTTGTTGATCGTTTACATGCATCTCATTTCCCTCCCATGAAATTTCCCTTTTTCCAATGCTAACTTCATGTTTCCATGCATTTTGCCTTCGGAAATCGAAGAGCAAACACTTGCAAATCCCTTCGTCGTCGAGGCCGCAGTTGAATTCCGGTACGGTGAACATGGAGAAGAAGAGATTCGATAGCTTGGAATCATGGTCGATGATTTTGGATTCGGAGAACGTCGAGACGTGGGAAGTTTCGAAAGAGGATCAAGAAGAGTGGACCGCCGATCTTTCGCAGTTGTTCATCGGCAACAAGTTCGCCTCCGGTGCTCATAGTCGAATTTATCGAGGAATTTACAAGCAGAAAGCTGTTGCCGTGAAAATGGTGAGGATCCCTAACCAAATGGAGGAGACGAGATCGAACCTTGAGCAACAATTCAAGTCCGAAGTTGCTTTACTCTCACGTTTGTTTCATCCCAACATAGTTCAGTTCATTGCTGCTTGTAAGAAGCCGCCTGTGTACTGTATCATCACGGAATACATGTCGCAAGGGACGCTGAGGATGTACCTGAACAAGAAAGAGCCCTACTCGCTTTCGACCGAGACGATCCTGAGATTGGCTCTAGACATATCCCGAGGAATGGAGTACCTTCATTCGCAAGGCGTCATACACAGAGACCTCAAGTCGAATAATCTGCTTCTGAATGACGAAATGCGGGTTAAGGTGGCGGATTTCGGTACATCATGTCTTGAAACACAGTGCCGGGAAACTAAAGGGAACATGGGGACTTATCGATGGATGGCGCCGGAGATGATTAAAGAGAAACCGTATACTAGGAAAGTCGATGTGTATAGCTTCGGGATCGTGTTATGGGAGCTCACTACAGCGTTGCTTCCGTTCCAAGGAAAGACCCCTGTGCAGGCTGCATTTGCTGTGGCTGAAAAGGTTAGATATTTCTTGTTTCTCAAGGCAACGATCTGTTTTGGCACTGATAAACCATATCATTTGTTGAATTATCCCGACTGCTTTCGGAATACGAGAGCTTTTCACCGAGAACCTATGTTGCTCCGACTCCTTACATCAACATATATATACATTAACGAACACTTCAGTGAAACAGAATTCGAACTGCATATGATACACTAACATTTTCACTAAGCGTATAACATTTCGTTTGGCAGAACGAACGACCTCCGCTGCCGGAGAGTTGTCAGCCAATACTCGCGCACCTCATAAAGCGCTGCTGGGCAGCAAACCCCGCAAAGCGGCCGGACTTCAGCGACATCGTTTCCGCCTTGGAAAGATACGACGAATGCGTTAGAGAGGGCCTTCCGTTAACTTTCCACTCGGGACTTGTCAACCGAAATGCCATCCTTGAACGGTTAAAGGGATGCGTATCTATGAGCTCATCTATACCTGTACATGCCTAACTCTTATATAGAAAGGTAATTTCTCTTGGCCTCTCACTCTCTCTCCCCAAAGGTCAAGATTACATAATAATTTGTACATTTTTTTATGTTCTTTTAATTATCAAAGCGTTGGATAATGCTTGTGGCTCATTAGAAGTGCTTTAGGCTGTGAAGCCACTACTCTTCATATTGGGAAAAACATGTAGGATGATGTAAAGTTCGATATTTGATATTTGAGTCATATTTAACAATATTCTCTTAACATAAATTATGTTAAAATATTAACATTCAAATTTATAATTACTTTTAATTAAAAAAAATTATAATGACTTCGATTTTATTTATTCTCTTTATGAAGTAAATCTTTTTACATAAGAATTATTTTTTTACGCTTATTTTGCCTCGAAGAATAAAGCAATTAACATAGAACTTAAGATACGAGATTTAATGTGGTTTAATTGTATCTATTTACATATAAATGAAACAAATAATCTATTATAGACATAAATGTCATAAATAGTATAAATTTAATTAATTTTTTTTTTTAACTTTATACATGTAAGTCGGGTCAGACTCGACCCATTGTAAAGGTCTCATGTTGACCCTAATCCAGGAGAGGATCCACTCTTTTGGACTTTTCGGGATATTTCTCAGTGTGGTCGCACTACTATTCATAATATTTTAATTTGGTACTTTTTATTTTTATATATTTAATTTATGCACTCATATTTTATCTTGTTTCAATTTCATCCTTTATTTTTTGTTTATTTAATTTAATTTTTTATTTTGCCTCATGATTTTATTTCCTTTTAATATAGTCCCTTATGTAGCTTTTGCATTTATTGTTTGAGCCTTTTAATTTTACATATATTTCAATCCAGTCCCTCTTTTATTTAATCACGACAATTGTATTTTAGTTTATTATAATTTCACACTTTTATTTCCTGCACTATTTAATTTCAGCATTTATGTTTGGTTTTTTTCTACTTATTTATCTTCATAATTTTTATTTCTACCTTGTAATCTTCACCCATTGATTGCATGTATCTGGAGTCAAACATTAGTGATTCATCATAAAATTGCAATCATAGACATGAATCCCACGTTCCATTTGAGAATTGGATTTGTTTTATTATAAAATGGTATTAAGAGATATTGTTATTGACCATGTCTTTTCATCGCATCAATATATTAATTAAATGAGAAAATAATCTCAGTGACCAAAAATACTTTATAATATACGATTTTAATTAACTTTTTTTGGATTTGTCAAAATGACCAACTAAATCGCAATGCGATCGATAATTCGCAACGCGATCTCCGGTATCGCAAATCAGTTTCCAGATTCGCAACGCGAACATCGACTATCGCAACGCGATTTTCCAAATTCGTTGCGATAGTCCAAGTTCGCGTTGCGATTTATTCCAAATTCGTTGCGATAGTCCAAGTTCGCGTTACGATAGTCTAAGTTCGTTGGGATAGTCGAAGTTCGCGTTGCGGTTTATTCCAAATTCGTTGCAATAGTCCAAAATCGCAACGACTGGTGGTATTGTATTTGTTTCTTAAGAATTTTCTCTAAAAAAGATAGTATTCGCGCGGACGTGTCGAAGACACGTATTACCACGACCACGACCACGACCACGACCCGAGACGAGACGAGACAGACGGCGGTGGCGGCGGCGCGCGAGAGTCCCCCTTGTTCTCTATCACTCAACAAGGAAGTGGAAAGCCAAGCCTTAAATACTATTCCTAATAGTGTTTCCAATACTATGTGGGATTGAGCATTACCAACACTTGTTCCCAATACTATGTGGGATTGAGCCTTAAATAGTGATATTATTTGTGAATTATAGTTAATGACTTTAGTATTTGTATGAAAAGTATTTGTGGTTCGTTTAGTTTTCATGCAATTCTAATTTATCTTCAATTGATTGTAATTGCACGATAATAATTTTTTTAATTCTCGCGAGTTATGCAATTTTTTTTTAAATGTTTTGCTTAAAATTGTAATAATCGCGATTGATTGTAAATTGACTTTTAATTATGACATATTTAATCGTATAATACTAATGCAATTGGTTGCTGATTCAGTTGTTTTAAGGTGCATGATTGTTAATTGTTTCCTGAATAATCACATAGTATTGGAAACAAGTGTTGGTAATGCTCAATCCCACATAGTATTGGAAACACTATTGGGAATGGTATTTAAGGCTTGACTTTCCCACTTCCTTGCTGAGTGATAGAGAACAAGAGGGACTTTCTCGCGCCGTCGCCGCCGCCGTCCGTCTCGTCTCGGGTCGTGGTCGTGGTAATACGTGTCTTCGACACGTCCGCGCGAATACTATCTTATTAGAGAAAATTCTTAAGAAACAAATGCAATACCACCAGTCGTTGCGATTTTGGACTATCGCAACAAATTTGGAATAAATCGCAACGCGAACTTGGAAAATCACAACGCGAATATGTAAATCGCAATGCGATAGTCGAAGTTCGCGTTGCGAATCTGGAAACTGATTTGCGATACCGGAGATCGCGTTGCGAATTATCGATCGCATTGCGATTTAGTTGGTTATTTTGGCAAATCTAAAAAAAGTTGGTTAAAATCGTATATTATAAGACATTTTTGGTCACTGAGATTATTTTCTCTAATTAAATTAAGAATTTCATTTTAATATCAATGTATTTTTTAATTAAATGATGAAGAGATTTAATATCATTTAAATAAAACTTTAAACTCTGATATTATAGATTAAAGAAATAATATTGAAAGAAACTTAATCCATATTTAAAAATTTAATCTAATACAGTTTCAAATATAACCTTATCCATATAACTATTAAACACCAATTTTTTTTTGTTTGAAAAAAAAAAGAAAAAGCAAATTGCAAATTTCAGGCGCATGCCATTAATAATGTAAAAAGAAGTGAAAAGTTTTTTTAAGTAAATAAATGGTCTACCGACTATAGAGAATTGTTTTATTGAGTATTCCGACTATTAAAAATTATAAAATGGTCAACTGACTATAGGGTATTATTTTGTTGAATCACTCGATTATTAAAAGTTATAAAATGATCACTCGAATATTAATATTTTCCAAACTCTTCATTTTATATTAAAAATTAATGACAATTTGAGTTGAATGTTAACATGTTGACTAAGATATAATAGTCGTTTGAGATTTTGGAATCAATTTTGATCATATCACAATCAACATGTTAACTTCCATCTCAGATTGTTGTCGCTTTTTTAAAAGAGAATGACGAGTTTGGAGCATATGATTAATCTGGTGATCATTTTCTAACTTTTAATAGTCGGGGACTCAACAAAGCAATATCCTATAGTCAATGGACTATTTTGTAACTTTTAATAGTTTGGAACTCAACAAAACAACGTCCTATAGTTGAGGGATCATTTGTGTACTTTAGCCTTATTCTTTTTAACAATCAATATTTGATATATTAATTGATTAATTCATATAGAACATTACAAAAGTTAGTTATAAAAATAGTTATTTTAATCTAATTTACTTTATTCACAACATTGTAATTCAAACGGTAATTTTATTTAAGAGATTTAATATCTTTCTCACTAGTTCAACCAACTGTATGTAAAATTTATTATTTTTAATAATTATTATATTTTATTATTTATTTTAATATTCTCTATTGACATTTCACACATTTTTCTTTAACATTTTTTTCACGTAAAAAATTGGCATTGCAAGTCTGAAAAGGACTGCTACTATCTATCCTAATTATTTATAAAGTAAAAATGGGTGAAAAAATTATTATTATTTTGTTAGAGTACACAAATACTTCAACAATATAAAGCGAAGTTTTGTTAAAGTTATTCGGTTATTAAAAGTTGATTAATTTGAATCTAATATTACAAAAGTTAATTATAAAAGACCAACTCTCTCAATCTAATTTGATTAATCTATGATAAGTGCAAGATAATACATGGTCAAAGATAACTCTTAATAATTTAACATTGAACGTTACATTCTTGGCATTCATGATGCTCGAACTCGATAACTCAAAAAATAACAACAATTCATTTACTAACGAAGTCATTTGGTTCGTACATTTAATTATTTATTTTAATATTCTTTATAAGACATTTCGCACATTTTTCTTAACACTTTTTTCACGTATAAAATTAGTATTACAAGTCAGAAAAAGACTACTACTATCTATCCTAATTATTAATGAAAATAGAGTTAAATTTAATAATATGGGATTTATTCTATAAGATTAGTTTAAATTTATTAAATTTAAACATAAAAGTATTTGAATTTAAAATTCTAAATTGGTTTTTAACCCCAAATAGTTCAAGTATGACTATACGAATCTGAGACTGAATCGAAACTAAAATTATTATTTATTGATAATTTGAATAAAATAAACAAATTCAAAATTTTAAATCATATATTAAATATTTGAATATACAAATCAAAATTTGTTATAATTTAGATGGTCAAGATTTTAATCATCTTAAAAATAAATACAATTTTTATTTTATAATCCGAAATTAAATTTAAATATTTTAATCTACACATATGTAATCTGTTATGTATGGCTCATAAAAAGTCTCGTTGTGGGGTTACGAATTATGTGGGTTGGGGGTGTGGGGGGCGCAGCCCCGCGCGTCGGTACAGGGTTGATTTTGTAATTATGTACCAGAGTTTTCTATTATAAATAGATGTAACCTAGACCTAAAAGATCATTGAATAAAAACTTCTAGCGCCGCCTAGGCACCGAGGACGTAAGCACATCGCGAAATTCGATGGTCAGGGTAACTTCGGATTATGGCAAACGAGGGTGAAGGATCTATTGGCGCAGCAAGGGATCTTGAAGGCAAATTCGAAGTCGCGAAATTCGATGGTCAGGGTAACTTCGGATTATGGCAAACGAGGGTGAAGGATCTATTGGCGCAGCAAGGGATCTTGAAGGCTTTGCGACCTACAAAGCCGGCGTCGATGGATGAGGAAGATTGGGAAGAATTGCAGCAGCGAGCGGCAGGAACCATAAGATTAT